CTGGGTTGCAGACTAACAGTGAGCAGTGACAGCCAGATGGGGCCAAGTGCCAAGAGCTGGGGGTCCCTGATAAAGGCTTCGGAGCTTGTGCTGTGGCCTGGGGCATCTAAGGTCATGTGGATCACACAGCCGTGCAGATGATGCTTTCCCAGGAGCACAGGCGGAGGTGGGGAGCTATTGAGAAGCCCGTGTGGTCTGGGTGCTAAGGACTTGAAGTCCAGGGCAGGGGGCGTGGACGAGCAGGACTGGATGGACGTGGGGGTGAGGAAGCGCGGGGTGATTATGGCTTCCGGGCCGGTAGGCCAGAGGAGAGGGATGTGGTTTAACGAGGGCAAGGATGAATTCCACTTCCACGATCGTGAGTGTGAGGTGCTGTGGCATCTCCATGTGCCAGCGGGCTGTGGGATACAAGTCTGAAACTTGGGACTGATGTCTGTGCTATAAATATGGACTTGGGCGTCATTAGCATTAATGTGGCTTGAAATCATGCGGGGAGATGAGGTCACTGAGGAAGGAATGTCAAGAGTGCGTACAGTGGTCTGGGAACACCAGCCCTGCCGCAGTAGGCACAGGCCCAACAGAAGTTCGCCAGTGAGGCAGGGACCGTCGGGGGGTGGGGCCTTCCCGAAACGGAGGCTTGCTCAGTAGGGCATGGAAAGCATGGGAGAAAGATGCCTTGGACCTGTTCAGGACTTGGGGGGGGGGGGGGGAGGGGGGGGGCAGGCTACTGATCAAAACTGGGAGTCCCTAGAGAGTGCTAGCTTGAACGAGCTAGAAGAGGGGACGGGTTGGGGCTGCTGTGATTTGGGTCCCATTTACTAGGCAACTGGAATTTTAAGTTGTGGATCTGAAGGAACAGGTTGGGTTAGAGTTGGGGATTTGAGTCACTTGCTGAGAAATACTGGCTAAAACCTTGGGGAAGACGGGGACAGGGTAGTAGAACTAGTAATTCTGAAGGTAGGACTTCACTGCAGGCCGTGGGGGCCCAATCTCTAGGCCCAGAGGTGCTGCCCCTGTGAACTTGGCCTCTGTTCAGGTGTGGGAGGTATTTGGGGAATTCCTTAGCAGGAAAAAGCTGGACAAGTGGCCCGGCTAGAGGATTATTTTAGCCCCATGCCATTCCCCACCCCTGAAAAACTTGTTTATCCATTTTAATCTTGTTTCTTAATCCACATTATCTGGGGTCCGTGAAGATTCAACCAAGTAGTCTCTTTCTCCTTGGGAGTTTTCAGAGGCACTGACCAAGTCCTTGGAGCTGCAGTGTGAAAACCTTTAGGAATCTAAAACTACCTCCATGCCTGTGGGGGGATGAATCTGGTGGCACTCATCTTTCCTGTACTTGAAGGCCTCTGATGAGAGATTGGATGCAAAATGCCAACGCAGGGATGGCAGCGCTGGGACTGGTGTGGTGCTTAGATGTGGGAAGTGAGGGAGAGGTACCTGGTGTGACATGCCTGACCTTTGCTGGGCTGAGCTGGGGCTCCTGTTGTCACTGGAGGGCGGGCTGGCACTGCAAGGTACCCTGGGTAAGTGGAAGAGGCTGGGGATGAAGACGTTTCTGAAGCCCCTGGGACCCCCTTGGGGCTCCCTTTAAAATCTCCCCACCCAGCAAGAAGAGCTTTTCAATGAAAAGTTTATTAGAAGGGCACTTACAGGGGAAAGAGATGACACAGATCTTTAACAACAGGGGTAAAATGCTTAAACAGGTGCTCTGCTCTTAAGATACAAAAGTTAGAAAAATCTAAACCACTATAAATACGTACATGCTTTTTACAAAGGTGTTCAAAGGTCAGGCTGGCTGAGAAGTGAAGGTCACCCAATACCCTCCACACTCTGTCCCTGCCCCCCCAGCCCCACCCCAGAGAGTCTGGAAGAGCCTCCTTGCCACAGCAGCAGGGAGGTGAGTGAAGGAGGGAGTGGGCTCCGGCTCCATCCCTGTGGCTGGAGATCTCACTGCTCTGAAGGGAGAGGGGTTGGGTTCTGAGGTCCCTTGGGGAAGAGCCTGCAGCCCCCTTCCCATTTGTGCGTGCTGCCATGTGCTTAGCCAGTTTGGTTTTGGTGGGGGGGGTAGCTTCTGGACGCTGAGCGCTGTGCCCTTAACCAGCAGTGTTCAGAACGGGCTAGGCTCCTGACTCTTGCCCAGAGAGACCTTTCTGACTTTCTCCAAAACAATTAAATAGTTCTCTGTCTTGAATGGTTTTAAGAATTACATAAATATAAAAACACCAGAATGCTAGAGTGTACATTATTTCAGCATAAAAAAATCAATTACAGAATCACTGAGAGCATTTCTCAATCCAGTTTACATGATCGGCTAGCTGTATTTCTACAAAGTTGCCTGGACCTCATCATGTCTCCACTGCCTGCCACCCTTCCATGAGAGACCCCTCCTCTTCGTGTCAGAGCCACAGCCTGCTAGGTATGTGTTTTGCTTTTCTACCCTCTTGAGAAGTCATGGATACTCCTCAGATGGATGATCTAGAAGGGAACGTTCAGGCCCCGAAAAGAAAAATGGTACAACACAGCTGTTGCGTTTTTAGTAAATTGGGGACATACTATAGATCTTGGGGCCAACTCCCGACTCTGCCCCTTAAAGTCACACAGAGCCCAGCATTAAACTCAGGCCCACTCTTGCTATGGGTAACCCCCCTGGGAAACCGGCCTGTGAACAGTCCCCAGATTTGTCTTCCTCATCCTTTTAAGGACAACAGAGATGGGCCTCAGGTGAGCTCTGGGCCTGGGGAAAGACTGGTATGAAGTCTCAGAGCAGCTGGGAGGCCAGGCTGAAACCCCATCTGCCTTCTCCCCAGATTACATACATGCGTGTGTGACATGAACATGCTACTTAAAGCCTTTTCCTGCAGTTTGAGTAAAAGCACTTAGCCCCGGGATAGGTCCAAACACTAGGAAGCCAAGGGAAGATGGAGGAAAAAAAAACTAAGCACAAGATACGTGCTACAGCTCATTCCAATACATTAATGATTTTTAAAAAATCACCACGGTCAATAAAAAAATACAACACAGACAACATAAGGACAATGGGAAAGTCTGCCAGCAGCCTTGCCCTTGTGTGCGTGCGCGCTTCCTAAGAGGAGTCAGAGTCCCTGCTCCTGACTCTCAGCTTGTCTCAAAATGTCAGATCGTCTGCAGCCCGCCAGGAAGGTGGCCAACTGAGATGATGTTCCAGCACAGGCCTGTAACCCGAAGCCGCTGGGGCAGCTACCTACTGGACTTGTGCTGGAAGGACCTAAGTTACTAAATAAAGTTGGGAAGAGGGGTGGGGGAGGAAAGGAAGAGAAGAGACGTTGGCTCCTGGGGGTGGTGCGCAGCTGAGGACCTCAGGCCCCACCCAGGACCTGACAGTTAAAACTGCCCTCCATCCCTGCCCCCAGACTACTCTATTTTCTCCTGCCCCTATCAACTGTCCTTTAAAAAACTCTCTTTAACATAAAAATGCCATTCCTACAACAGGATTTTCAAACTAAGAAAACCGCTTTGTGACTTAAAGGCCACTAATAGGACACAAGTCCCCCCCCCCCCCTGCAGGACCCCCCCCCCCCCAGTACAGCTACAGCCTCTCTGATGGGAGGGGCACCAAGTCCTCACCTCTAAGTCTGACTGAATTTCTTCTAGAGGTGGACTTACCTACATTTTCCTCTCACATCTTCCTCCAGGGGTCTAGTCTATAAAGAAGAGGGGCCAAGTAAGCTTTTGTAGAAACACAAGACTGCGACTTCACACCTCCTAAAAGTAGCCCTCGGCCCTGAGCATCAGAGGTGCCAAGACACCATCCAGGCACAGCCACTAGATTGCTCAAACCGTGCTGTACCTGAAGCGAGTCCCCAAGAAACGGGAGGACAGCTGTGTGCCACAGGAAGGCCTAGGAGGAGCAGGAGGCCGATGGAGAACGCAGGCCTTCGGAAACCGCTGCCCTGGCTTCGGGGGAGGGCACCATGGCACCAGCGGAGGCCGCAGTGGAGTGCCCGCACCACAAGTCTCAGACCTGACCAGGAGCATGCATGCACGTCCAGGCAGGCCCAGCCGGCTTCCTGGGAGCAGCAGTCGGCAGATGGCTTCACAGCAGGTGAATTCCGGCCCCTTGGTGTCTGACCGTCTCAGGGAGAGGGTGGTTGTGTGGGGTCTCTGGGCTCTGAGTCAAAGACCAGCATTGGTCTGGCAAGGTGCTCCTCCCATCTCTTCCTGTGTCCTCGGGGAGCTTGGAGAGTAGCCCTCCTACCTGGAAACCACACGGCTGGAGCTGCAGGGTAATTAGGATCCTGCTGGGGAGGTGCCGGGAAGCTCCCACTCTCTCCGTAAGGCATCAGAAACAGCATCACATTTGACATTTATACCCGCCAGAAGTAGACATTTTCTGCCCTTCACTTGGAATCAGACAGGACTTCCATGGGAAATCCCTTGGCTTTTCCTGGTAGAAATCCATGCAAAAAGATGGGATAAAGTAATTTCATACAAAAACAGCAATGAAGAATAAAGTCCCAGTTACAAGTGGCAATGCTGTATTCTGCAAGAGGCCAGTTGAAAAGGAGGGATTTTTTCCAGTTGAAATAATTTATACCAGTTTCCTCACTAATTGCCACTGGGAACAGTACTTCTTACACAGTATAGCTGCTGAAATCGTCACTGATGATCCTCAGCCATGAGCCAGATAATCTTACATCCCTGGGGAGGGGGGGGGAAGACGGCACACCTCTGTGCTCCAAGGCTCCAATTTTCCAAGGTGTAAAAAAAAAAAAAAAAAAATTTAATAGCCCTTTTTCATTTGCCTATGTTGGCCTGAGATTTTTTTTCCCTTCGGGTGCATTTGCTTCTGTTAATTTCAGTTTCCAGAAGTGCTGGCAGGTGTCTTCTCAACAAAACCTGCAAAAGCTTCACCTTAAGAGAGAGAGGTTGCCAGCCCCCCACCCCCAATGCTGGTTTCCCTGTCAATGTGCCAACCCAGGTTTTTTTTTTTTAATATAAAATAAACATTTAAACGAGCATACGACAAAGCTCATTTAATTAATGCAACTGACTACGTAAACCAAGAAAGCCGGATGCATAAGAATAGCAAGTGAGCTCCTACAGAGGACTGCAGACCCACGGAATGGAGCGTCGCCTCCACTCAGACCCCACTGATGCGACAGCTGCCTCCTGCCTCACGTGACCATCTCACGTGCTTCAAATCTCTGAGATTAACGCGAGAAGAGAAAATATACATTGCATAAGCGCTGAGTCTCAGCAGTTCTCCCAACCGTTCCAAGTGAGAAAGGACAAATTTGAGAGGAGAGGTCTCGTCCACTTTCCCCACTGTCCGCGAGCGCATGTTCTGAGCACGCTGGCTCACCCTTCTCGGGACGCTGTCAGAGGAAAGGGGACAGATGCGCTCCCCTCCCCACCCCAAGTCAATCCGGCTCCTCGGGTGCAGGGTCTGCTGGAGTGCTGGGGCTCAGGAATGCTCAGCTGAAGCACTGGTCACAAGCGCCAGAGGGCTAGGCATGAGGTTCGCTCCCGCCCCTGCAGGCTCTGTCCCACCTAGAACACCCAAGGTGAGTTTCACGCTCCAGTCCGGAACCCAGGGCCATTTCCTGTTGGACAGTGACATCCCAGATTGCTGTCATTAAATCCAAGGGGGCTGGGAGGAGGGGGCAGGTGGTGAACTACTACCTGTTTGCTCAAGCCGCCAGAGCAGAAGCCGATTCTTGCCCTGCAAACGGGGACCAGAGGACACATGTGTTTGGCAGACACAGCTGTTTCAGAAAATCCATCTCTGGGTTTGCTTTTGCGTTTTGGAAAACAGGTCAGTGCCGCTTTGATTGAGGGAGAAAAATTTCTTCTTCATTGACAATAGTGAGTTCCAATTTTCTCCTATGCGGCCTTTCCCCCCAAAGCCCACCCTCCCCCCACCCTCCCCCTTCACACCCAGTGTCTCTAAGACACACTGGAACAGCGGATGCTTGGGGAGCCCATCTGCGTGAGGACCTTGTCAAGCCACTGCAAAGGCCCATTCAGGTGCAGCTCGATCCAGCAGGGGGTGCTGGTCACGGTTTGTCTCCTGCAAGACACAGGGAGAGGGGTGGGCTGGGAGACTTCAAAAATGTGCAGAAGCACACACATATAAGTCAGAACACCTCTTCCTGCTTTGATGAGAGTCCTCTAGCCAGAGCCAGAGATAGGCCCATGGCGCCTTCCTAGACACTGCTCTAGAGGAGGATCCAATGACTTGCTGAGACCGCCAGGGCAAACTCCTCCAACCAGGAAGAGCCTTGAACAAATCAGGTTCTCTCGCCAGGGAAGGAAATAGCCCTTCAAGGGTTAAATGTGTGAGGCAAATTCCAGGGTATCCTACTTGTCCACCCGTTTCTGTGACAGGCCCCCCTGTAAAGAACTTCTAGCCTGAACAAAGGTCTCCCTGGGTCCCATCTGTCCTGAATGGGCAGCCTCAGCTCCAGGGCCAGGTCCAGTCCCAGCAGGCCCTGATGACGTGTGTCTGTCTGATGGAGGGCTGTTTTCTGCACAGCGCCGACAGAACCTACATGCCATCAGTTCCCAATGTGCTGATATAATTCCCATCTATGGCCTTATTTTGGAAAATCTTACAAGCAGAGCAAGCCATGGAACAATTACTGGAAAAAACCAAGGCACACCACACGTTTCTTTTCCCCAAAGCACTTTGTCTAAATTCAGGCTGGTTGATGACGCAGCCCACAGGCGAGCTCCCAAAGGCCTCCAGTGAGCAAAGGCTATCTGCTGAGGCCAGAGGTGCTAGTGCCAGCTGGAGGTGAGAGCCCTGGGCCCGGGGCCCTCCCCGCTGTTGGCCGTCTGACAGGAGGGATGAAACCTTACTCTCTCTTTGGCCCAAGAGGCAGAAGGAGGGCAAGACTGTTCTGGGAAGGGGCCGCACCCGCCCATTAGGCAGCTCTGTTGGGCTGCCAGGTGGCAGTAACGTGGTAGGCCGCACAGGACCCCACGTGCTGGCAGCATGTCCCACATGGTGACACAGTGCCCCCAGGGAAAGGCTTCCACCACCAAGGGACCTCCTCCCAGCACTTGGGAGCTGGAGGGCCACTGTGGTGTGCAAGCTCGAGGGCTTTTAGCTCGAGGCCACTGCCCTCCTTGCTTGGCCTAGGCTGGGCATGAGTGGAGGTTTCTAGATGGGCTTGTGGACCCCAGGGTGCCTCTCTGACCTGAAGTGCCTGAGTACAGTCCTCTGAGAAGTCTGGGTGTAGGAAGAGCAAAAGGACCTCTATCTGGCTCTTTTCCATTGGTGTCCAGCTAAGTAGTTCCCTTCCCCACTGAAAGAAAAATACTAATTTTGTAACCTTTCACTCTGGTCCCATAAATGATTTTAGCCAGGGCCAAAATGTGGGCTAAAATCTCTCTTGGGCTGGGCCCTCGGGCCTGGGCTCATCTCCTCAGGCCGTCATAACTGGACGGTAAGTTCTCCTGAGAGGCCGGACTACTTTCATTACTCGGTTAGTCACTCATCCTGGATTTCACAGAGACGCCCCCCCGCCTCCCCAGACCAAGGTGCTGTGTTCCCTGGGCCTGTGGGGCAGACACAGGGAACAGCAGCTCAAATACGGTAAATAGGAGAGGACTTTACGGACCGAAATCCTCTAACGAGAATCTGACTTTCCATAAGTCATGCTCATCTGGATTTCATTACAAACGGTGGCCCAGAGCCAATACTGAAATGGGTTTGGCCTGGGTGCAGAATGACTACAAAACAAAATGGATTCCAAACATCTGGAAAAATGAAGAGAAGGGGGCAGTCACTCGCAAGGCGCTGGCCCGGGCTGCCTCACGGGCTCCTCTGCGTCTGCCACGGGAGCTGGGGGCCGGAGGGCCACAGGGCTCTGGCCCGCGCACCCTCCAGTCTAGGTGTGGAAAGAAAAGGGACCAGCTTCGCCAAACCCAAACCAGAATGCTCTGGGAGGTTCAATAGAACAGACCAGGTAGACCTGACCAGTGCTATGTTTAAACCAGTATCTGAAATTCTGAAAAAACAAAAACTCCTTTCTTAGCGAGTAAACTCTGTTCCTTTTTGACTACCCAAATCTTCTCTCCTCCCATCTGCCTCTCAATTTTAATACCCGAGATCCTCAGGGTCACCTCCATCAGAGCCAGAGCCCCAGAGAAGCGCGGAACAACTCCTTGGAGAGGATTGTCCTAAAATCATCCGCCCAAAATGAACAACGAGCAAGGAGCCAAGAGGCAGAGTGCTAGGCTCAGCTTTTCCGCTAATGATGTGACTTCAGGCAAGTCACTTTCCCTCCCTGGGCCTCGGTCCCCTCATCTGTGCACCGGCGCTGGTGCCAGTGTCCCCGCCCAGGGTGATGGTGAGGAAGAGAAGAACTAGAACATACGTGTTTCTGGTGCGTGAGACACTGCCGTGCTCAGCCCTTCCTTACCCAGCGTGGCTTGGGCCCTTCCGGCCCACTGAGCCACGGCCTCTGATCCTTGGTCTCTGCTCTCTGGGGTGAGGGCGGCCTAGCTCATCTCTAAGGGGCCCCTGCTCTGCTGCTCGAGTCCTGTGCCGTTGGGCCCCCATGACAGGTGGCACCCAGACCTGACCTGTATTCCGCTCCCCAGCCCTTGACGAAGCTCATGCGGATGGTGCACATCCGGGTCAACTGGTAGACCGCCTCGAAGCCCTGGTTGACGGACTGAGCCAGGAGGGCGGCGAACTCCTGGTTGTTGAAGATCTTCAGGTTGCACCCTGCCAAGAGAACAAAAACAGTGCTTGTGGGGACAGAGGCATACGTGTCCAGTGCCCCACTCCTGGCTGAAGCCACCCGTGCGCCATCCAGAACAGCATACCTGACCCGGCTCAAGTGGCACACGGTGATTCCGTGCGTTAGCCCCATACTCCGCACTCGGCGCCACACTAGGGACAGGCCCCCTCAGTCCCTGCCCTTGAAGCCGTCCCCACCTCAGTGGCCAACACACAGGGCTGGATTCAACACTGGCGTGTGAGCTCCAGCTCCCGGAGCCAGGGAAGGCTGAGGAAGACTGTAAAGCCAGTGACCTAACAACCTGAGGAAGGGTTTGGAGAGGTGGGCCTTGCCCTGGGCAAAAGGGCCAAGGCAGGACTCCAGGGACCAGAGACATAAGGTACCTAAGCCAGAATGCCCATGGCTGTGTGGGGCATAGCTGACCACCCAGCAAGCGGGAGTCCTTGACAGTAGGCGCAGGGGAAACAGGACAGACGAAAGGCTCCGCAACCTGCTGCTCCAACAGGTGGCTCCCAGAGGGTCCCAGGGTACCTTCTACCCGGGCTTCCCTGCTGAATCCACCCGGGACCAGGAAGGAGCAAGAGACTCAGGCCACAGTTTGGCCTTGGGGCACATGGCTGGGTCAGGGTGACATTCGCAGCAAAGTGAAGGTGTGTGTCTAACTCTTCAGGCAGTAAAACCCGAGCCAGGCCCAAATAAAGTTTATAATAAATCTCCTGAAGTCGTACTGCTTGAATGCCTGAATATGTCAATCAGAAAAATAACAACAGCACATGCTAGAAATACCCAACAGGTGAGCTAAGGTGACATTAACAGGCCAACACTGGACTCCTAATCTTGCTGTGTGACTCTGGGCCGGTCATTTTCTCTTCATAAGCTTGGGTCTCCTTTGTAAAATGGGAGGCAGGCCTCGGGGGTCCTCCTAGCTCCTATGGTCTATGATAACAAACCCCACCAGGGCCAAGTCAGCCCTCCCCAGAAAGGTGTGAGATGGCTGGGGAAGGGAGTAGCCATAAGGCCAGGAATACAACTGAGCTTCCAGTTTTCTTTTTCTCCAAGGGGAAGTCTGGTGACACGGGACAGCAGGTGGGGTCCGACTCCCAGCCAAGCCAAGAAGCAGAGGGACCACTGGACTCCACGGTCCCACTGTCCTAGGCTCATCCCAGCTCAGCCACTCCCCAGCCGTGTGCCTCAGGGCAGGTGGCTTACCCTCTCTGAACTTGTCTCCTCACCTGAGGAGCCAGGATAATGGGAGAAGACTGTGTGAGAGCAAAGCTAGAGATGTCCTCTGGAGACACAACTACACAATGCGCAGGAAATGGCGAGCGCTGTCTTTCAGACCTTCTGCATTCTTAAGCTGACCTTGCCCAAAGCTCATCATCACTCTGCTATCATCTGCTACCAGGAGGAGGAAACACATGCCACACCCAGTACCAGCCCTATCACAGCCCACACTCTGCCAGCAGCACGGCTCAGGGCTGCGTGCCTGTGAGAAGCGGGCTCTGGCGGGGCTCTCGGCCTGGGTTTTCTAGGTCCGGAGGCCCAGATGGGGTCTGTCTCTGCCTGTGTTGCTGCATAGCTGTGGCCCTATCCAAGCCCCACTCTGGGGTGCAGCCTGTAGCCATTTCTTGGAATACAGGTGGGATTCATCAGTTCTACTCAGAAAACCTGCAAGAGCTCCCCAGAATCAAAGCAGAACTTTCTTGCATCCTTCTGGGGCCTGGCCCCATCATGCTTTCTAAACATTTCCTGCTTCTTACATGGCCTCTCCAGCCAGAGTTCCACCCGCATGTGCCCTACTCTCCATCACCCCCGGGGCCTTGGCCCATAATGTACCCTCAAGGTCCCCACCCCAACCATCACCCTGTGCCGAATGCCAGCCAGCCCTCGATGCCTGTGTGCTGCCTTCAGGAAGCCTTCCCTGATCCATCCCAACACTTAAATGAGTTTTTCTCCGTGGATCCAAGAGCACCTTATCTCTGCTGCTTCCTTGGTGATTAGTACCCTTCCTTATATTAAACCCATTTGTGTCTTTGTCTCATACACTCAGCCTGTCTGTAAGGTCTGTGGGGACAGCAGCAGGGCCTCCCGGACCCCTCCGTCTCCCTCAAGCACCTGGCATGGCGCCCACATGCCGTGCAAGTTTGTGGAGTGAAGGACGAAAGCATGATGCCTGTGCATCTGTGCACGCAGGGCAGCAAGCAAGTGGCCGCGGATCAAAGGCAGAGCCATCAGAGGCTGCTTCTGCTCCCAGGAGGGTCAAGGAGAGCACGGTCGGCCGGTAAGACACAGACAAAACCCCTATGAAGCCCCTCCAGCCTGGCAGTACAAACGCAGAAAAGGTAAGGATGGAGAAAGCCCCGACATCTCGGAAGCACCACGGGGCGGGGCTGTGAGAGCTCATACCTGGTGGGATCTTGCAGACGGTGGCCGGGTGCCAGCCGTAGCGCTGGTTACAGTTGGGCGACTGGACGAAGATGGCACTGTCGCTGAGGCACTCTGCGAAGACCTCCCCTCCAATGTAGTACAGCCGCACGCCTCGCCCTGGAGAGATGGGGGTCAGACTGGACTGGGGTGGGGCTGGCCCCAGGGCCAGCTGAGGCATGCCAAGGGGCCCAAGCTGCAGCCAGTGCTCTGAGTGACTGCTTCCCTGCCAGCCTCACTGGACAAACAGGACCCAAACAGCTTAAACCCGCAGGGGGGATGGGGGGTGACACCAGGTCCCCTAATGCGGGGCGGCCAGTGACGCAGGGAAGGTGCATGGGCTAAGCCTGCATTGATGGCCTTGGCCACAGACAAGTTCCTCAGCCTCTGAGCGTCCGTCTCTTCGGAAGATGGGCGACACTCACACGCACCTCATAGGGCGGCCGAGCCCCATACAGCGCCCACTGAGTGGGAGCTACAACAGAAACAACAGAAACTCATTCCGCAGACATCCCAGGGGCCCTTCATGACAGGGATGGCTTCATGCCACCCCCGTACCTTCTCCCCTCTGTGCATTTTTCTAAAACATTCCATAGGTTTCTGTCATTCACTTTTCCTCCATCTCTTAAATCCATTCCAGATGGACAGAAATTATTTTTAAGTTGGCTCTGCAAGCCAAGCAAGCAGTTACGTAAACATGCTGACATGAGTGCTGCTCTCAGCCCGGGGAGGCTCTCTTCCGCACGGGACGGCCTCTGTTGCCACTTCTGGGGAAGAGGCCCAGAGGGCTGGAAGATGGAGCCAGATTCTACAGGCACGAGGTCAAGTGGGACAGAAACCAGGGGGCCGCTGGGAGTTCTGCCTCCTCATCCCATGATGGCCCCAGAGCCCCTTTCTCCTTAGTTTGGCACGACACACGAGGGGTGTGGGGGGACTCGGGGTCCACAAAGAGGGGCCGCTGGATTGTCTGTCAAGAGCAGAGGCAGAGATGGAAAGACCCCGACAAAAAGAACAAAAATGTGTTTTGTTTTGGTAGTTTCCAAACACTATTTTTAAAATATAGAAAAGCGTAAGGAGAATAAGTAAACACCTATGGATGCCACTCAGGACCCATCTTTTTTAATGTAAAACAAATATGGATGCTGTCTGGTAAGGCTGAGGGCTCAGTGGCAGGGGGCTGTTTGTCACCAACTAGGTCACACTCACGGTGTGGCCTCAGCAAGGCTCTGCTCTCCCGTGGGCATCAGGTTGTTCCCCTGGAGAACGAGAACCCAGGCCCAGACCCATGGCTTCCCGTTTCATCTTTTAACCATAAAGTCCTCTCTTCAAATGAAATTTTCCGTGAAAACTCAAGACATGATATGGACAAGATCAAGGGTGCTCTGGTGCACTTGGGACCAGACCCGCTGGAGCCCTGCCCAGCTCCGGGGTTTGCCCCGGAGCTCAGGGGCTCTGGACTGACCATACCCTATTATACCATCTCCAGGGTCTTCTGAGGGACTCAGGATCCCCAAACTATGAACATCTAAGTGACACACACACAGCTCCCTCTTCCATAAACAAAGTGGTCTCTTAAGTATGTTCTGGGTGTTAGAAGGTTGTGGCAGCCTATATGAAATTAATAAAAGATCACTCCGGATACTACCTACCTCTCCACCTAGCAGTCAGTCCTTTAGGGGTATGTTTATTAAGATAATCACACATATTGCCCTTTTCATAGATTTGCCATTTTTATCCCCTCAAGTGAGTGTTTTCGTCCTTGGGTTTCCCCTCTTCAGACTTAATCTGTGTTTTTGAATGGGAGTGACCAAGCAATGTGAACTTTTCTGGCCTAGCCCCTAAATAGGGCAATACAGAGTTCGAGGGCTGGCTAGGGAAGTGGGTCCTTTCCCCAGGTCCCAGCAGAAGGTATGGCACAGTGGAGGGGGGAGGGGGGTTAGGAGGGCAGGTGGGTTCTGGGCCCAGGCTGCTCAGGGCCGCTGGGGGTGGGGAGGGGGGGTGGATGAGGAGACGGGGTGCCCTTACCGATGTGCCTCCGCGTGAGCTCCACGGCCGCGTTCCGGTTGACGTTGGAGAGCAGCCCCAAGCAGAAGCGCTCTGAGTTGGAGGGGTCGGTGAAGCCATCCACGGTCATGGAAGGCTGCGAGGCGTGGAATGTTTCCCCAACGCGCTGGTTCAGTTCATAGTAGGAGATGGAGCACCAGAAGGCTGGCTCGCAGTAGGTGACAGGCTGCAGGTCTGGGGAGACAAGCCAGGCTACTGGGTCAGGGACCCCCAGTTTGCCTGCTCCCCAGCGAGCTCCCCTGGCTGCTCTGCAAGGCTATTTCTGTATCTCTCCGAGGGTGTTACAATCCCCAGACCTCGTGCCTTGTTCTACCGAAGCCTGCAGGATCCAATGTGATAAAGTACTCTAGCGTTTGGAAAAGGGCTTCTCCACTTGCCTTGCCGTTTTCATTTAGTCTTAGCTCATAAAGGGCCCCGTCCTGCCTGGCTGGCCTTGGGTTCGTGTGGTCTTCAAGGAGGGCCAGGCATCACCCAGCACCTGAGCAAGTCTGCTGAACAGGCCCAGCAGGTTCCCCAGGGGTGGCCATGCCACCCACATGGCCACCTCCTGGCCTGTTGGCCTCCAGAGGGGCTTTCAGCTTTTGGCTCTGCCTGGTCTCAGGCACTCCGAGCCTGTAAGATGACAAGGCTGGCAAAGCCTGGGCTGTGGGGGGGCCCACAGGGTGCTGGGTCTCTGACCACACGCGCATGGTCCACAGAGTGAACCCATAGCTATTATAGAAACTATCTTCCAAATGTCTCCACGTGCTGTCTGTCGGATGGCTAAGACACAAAGCCACCTAAAAGAAATTCTCCATTTGTCCTGTGGTCTCAACCAAGGGCTCCTCAAAGCAAAACTGCCATCTTGGGAGACACCAGTTCTCTAATAAGAGTTGGGAACCCTGAAATAGAGGTTTCCCATTACACAATCCCCCCATCATCTTTCCTGGAACTCCCTCATCTTCCTGTCACCTCCGGCCACCCTAGTCCACACCTGTCCGGGCCCCTGGCCCTCCTTCCTGCACCATCTCTGACACCCCATTGGGTCCATGATTGGCCCTAGGCCAGGCCCCCGTCCTTCTTCCCTGCCGTCAGTGCTGCAGCATCGTAACAGGACTCCCCAACACTCTGGTCCAGCCTCCCTGCCCCACACGGCCCCAACATGGGGTGGAGTATCATCCTGACCCCCCTCACTGCCTATGTGAATCCACCTCCCTCTTGGAGAACCAAGGAGGCCCTGCCCCTTCTCACTCCTCCGTCTTAGACATCCAGCCTGATATTAAATATATTTGAAGTCCCCTGAGTACTTAGGGTGCATCTGCGGGATCAGGTACAAGGGACAGGAAAGGCTCACCGTGCCAGCGTTGAGCCCTGGCCAGAGACCCCAGCTCACTGCCTGGAGTGAGAACCCACAGGGAAATCTGCTCACTAGGCCTTTGGAAATGTGTGAAGCACAAGAGGAAAAAAAAAATCAGAAACTGTTCTGGGAGGGGCCTGCAGGGCCGAGGGCCCAGATCTACTTGTGGGGTCTGTGCCTACGATCCCTTCTCAGGGGAAGGAGAACGCCTACCCCGTGTGTGAGAAGATGCAGATCGGTAACATTCCTGCACTGAGCACAGGCCCAGAAAGCGTCCGTAGGAGGGCTGGGACACCTAGATCAGCTTCTTCGCCCCAGCATCATCAACATCTTAGGCCAAATGATCCTTGGACTGGGCGGGGGTGCCCCGTCTGTTACAGGCTGTGTAGCAGCACCCACTAAATGCCAGTGGCGCACATCCATCACCCCCACCCCAGCCGGGACAAGGACAAATGGCTCAAGACACTGCCAGCTGTCTTTGAAGGGGGCAAAAGAGCCCCTGCGTGGAGACCACAGCCTTCCAGATTTAGCCAGGTCGTGGAGCCCAGCCTTTACCGCCAGGCGGCCCAGAACGCAGCCGGCACTCCACACGGATCGGCTGTGTGACTGTGAGCAAACCAGACCAGCTCTGAGGGTTTTAGCTTGACACGTGGCTCTCCACAGCCACGGGACGGGCGGCCCTCTTCACCAACGCCGCCCAGTCTGCAGACCGACCGGAAGAAATACCAAAAGCGCCGGGCACGCATCAAGCATTCCATACGTGGTGCTGACGATTAGAACTGAGGATGTACGAAAACCTGAGTACATCCTGCTCCTGACCCAGCCTCCACTGTGGGGAAGCAAAACGTCCTTGGCCCTCTCCTCTCTTCCCAGGGATGAGAGACGGTAGGGGCTACTTTTAATGGGGGAGGGGAGGAGTGATGGGACAGGGGCGACCATGGCTTGTGGCCTGGGCCCCGGAGGTCGGGTTGAGCCACATGGGCCCCATCCGGCTCTGGTGTCACTCCACGCTCCGACATTCCAATGAGATAAGCTATATTTTAAACAATGTGGTCACTAAAATGTGAGCTATGTTGCTTTGGCGACCTTAAAAAAAAAACAAAAACAAAAAAAACCCCAAGAAATCCAAGTATAATCCAGGCACTCAAAAGGGTCGGGCAACGCATCGGAGGCAAGAAGTCCTGAGTAGGGGCTGCTGACCACCACTGCCCAGGGGCTGGCTCTGCTGGCCTTGCTTTGTGAGCTCTCCTGGCCTGGACAGCCACTGCAACTTTCCTGGAAGACGCCTAGTGTAGACCATCCAGGTCACTGTGCATCTGGCGGGGGTCAGCCTGGAGAGGCAGCTGGGGCTGCTCTGCACTGGCCTTGGCGTCCCCAGCAAAGTACAGAACAGAGTCCTCACCCCAAATCATAAAGCCTTCCAGCACCCCCTGGGCTTAGTGCAGACAGAAGAGAGAGAGAGCTTGGCTCCCAGGAAGCCTGGCACAGCCTACCCATCAAAAGAAGAAAAGCCACAGGCCACCCATTGGGTAGCGTGGTGCCAGAACCACTCAGGGGAAACGTGGGCTTTGAGGCATCTCAGAACCAGAGACAGGCTTGGGGTCCTGGCCCAAGAGGCCCCCCAAGCAGATCTGAGCCCTTATCTAAACATCCCTGCAACTTACAGATACACACTGGACAATGTGGTGGAAAACGTTGGACTTGGGAGCCTGACACATAATTAAAGAGATGCTAGTTTGAGGAGTTAGGGGTGTGGGGGAGGGCAGGGCAGTCAGGCCAAGGCCAAGTCTGAAGGGTACCATTTTCCTGAGTGCTGTTCGGATGAGCTGGCCTGTGTTTGGAAGCAGGACTGAGCTGGGGCAGTGCCCCCAGCCATGTAGTCACAAGTCTCCAGAAACACCTAAGACCCAGCAGTGCCTTTCACCTCTGCCCCTCCCAGCACCTCTCAGCTGCCCCTCCTCAAGGAACCTCTGCAAAGGGAGCTGCAGACCAAAACGTATGGTCGCCACCTCCGGGTTCTCCCTTGAACAGCAACTTATTCTTTTTTTATTTTTTTTTAAGATTTTATTTATTTATTTGACAGAGAGAGATCACAAGTAGACAGAGAAGCAGGCAGAGAGAGAGAGGGAAGCAGGCTCCCTGCTGAGCAGGGAGCCCGATGCGGGACTCGATCCCAGGACCCTGAGATCATGACCTGAGCCGAAGGCAGCGGCTTAACCCACTGAGCCACCCAGGCGCCCCAAACAGCAACTTATTCTTAAACAGCACATATATCCTCATTTTTATTTCCCACCCAAAGACTTATCCACATCATGGTTAAGTACAAGAAAAATGTAAAGTCAGGATGCTAGAAATGAGAACATTATAAACAGTAAAATCATGGGTTATAGTTACTGAGAGAGCACTCAGCTTGGCTCTGAGCTCCCTAGCAGACAAGGCAAAAAGGGAACATCACATGCTACGTGTCTCTGGTTGTGTACAGACAATGGTGACAAGTTCTACAGGGGAATCAAAGCTTGCCCTGGCCTTAAGTCTCAAAAGAAATCTTTTAAGAAATCAGGTGGCAACCTGAATCTCCTCCCACATCCATCAAGCCAGCCAGCCTGAATTCCAAGAGTCTTCCAACAAATGCAGAGGCCATTTTGCATAAGATCGCTCCTTGCAAAGGACCTGAAGACATGCCACACAGAGGCTTCTGTGAGAGGATGACTCTCCCAGGGCTAAGGGCACTTGCCTCCCTCATAGTAGTTTTGCATCTCCAGGCCACAGACTCGGCACACCTAGCATGCTAGACGATGGTGTGTGCCCAAGGCTGCCCCTGCACACGGCCCTGCTCCCGGGCAGACTGCTGCGTCTGGGCTCATCGCTCTTCCTAGAGCAGAGGTGTTGGAGCAGCAGGAACCTCCCGCTCCCACCGCTCTCCGCCCCCTGCCCCCACCAGCATGGTATCAGCCAGACTTCTCGAGGGGCGTGGGGCACTTCATTCACAGCTGGCTCCCCGCCAGCCTGACGGCGCTGGCTGGCTTCGCTTTTAAGCCCTATTCCAAGCTGGCAGAGACTTTCTGTTTTGTTTAAGGAAAAGAAAACAGAATAAAACCCAGAAGGCAACGCTTGGATTAAGGGATGCCTATTAAAAACATGTGCAAGAGATCCAAATCCGGTAAAGGAAAAGGAGTGGGGGATGGCAGGGGGAAATTAACTTTCTATGATGAATCAAAAGCTAGGAGCGGGCAAAGCACCAGAGTCACAAAGGGTAAAGGTCAGAATGTGAACAAACTGCCTGGGCCCTCCTCCCCTGTGGAAGGCAGTGTGACCTCCCACCCTGGAGATGCCACTACACTCTAGTCCCCAGGCACCCCCACGGTCCTAGCTCAGTCCCTGCCGTCCCTGCTGCCTGGGCTGCCCACCCCTCATCAACCCAAGCTCAACCATTCAGCCCTGGCTCACATGGCTCTGGAACATTCCCTCACCACTCTGTGCGTCAGAGCCACTTGTGTCCCCCAAGGTTAGTTCCCTCAGGCCCTGGATGGCGGGCTCCCCACACCTGGGGCTCCAGTTCCAACCTAGCTCCTTAAGGGGGAGGACAACAAAACGAGGTGTGCACGGACAGCAGCCCCCTGCTCTTCCAGCTAGGACCAGTTTGCTGCAGCCAAGACCAGCGGCTGCCTTGCTGTCATCAAGACGCCTGTAATTTCTTTAGCTTGAGGAGATCAGAGCCTGAGGAGACCATAGCAAGAGCTCTATGTGGCAGCGAGAAGACACCTGGAACCAGGCAGGCTGTCACCTGGACCACGGCCTCTTTCAGGGAGGAGCTCTCTTCAGAGCTTCCACGAGAGGCACTCTGGGAACTGTCACCTGGTCCAGCTCCAGTGTAGCCGCTATCCCGGAGGTGCTCCCTGGTACCTCTTCTCCATCAGTCAAGACCCCTTCCCAAATGTCTACCTTTAAAGCAAGAACCACTTACTCACCGGCAGGGTCTAGCTCCTTATCTTTTTCCTCTTCCCACTTCCCTTCTCCTTCCCCTCCATTCGGCCCAATCCTTGACTTCAGGGCTCAGGAAAGCCCAGGTGACTCATGGAGCACGATGTGGAAGCACAGGCTTATCACCTGCTCACATCCCTTCCCTGCAGGACGGAACTGCCGGGTCTCCCCAGAGCCTGCCTCTGACAAGGAGCTGAGCTGGCGGGCAGTCACTCATCTGGGCCCCGCCCCCAGTCACCAGGAGTGGCCTCGCTGTGGCAGGAGCCTCAGTCTCTTGCCCGGAGTGGGAAGGAAATGAGGAACAAGCCAGATGTCCTCTGTTTCCTCTCTTCCCACATAACTGCTTTGCAGGAAATAGTCCAATGTCCTGAGATGTCCCCATCCTTCCCTACTGTCATCTTGCCTTTTACTTGCCCTGCCCATACCACTGCCCGACCTCAGCCCCCACCCTTCCCCACAGGTGCTCTGAGGGTGCCCTTGAACTCCCGACGTCACCTCAAGGCCTCTCCTTCCCACCTGCTCACTGGCCTCCCACCACTCTGGCTGCCGGACCCAGCCCTCCCCTGACCCTCAGCCTCTTCCCCAACCTCCTCCCTCCCAGGGCACCCCATCAGTCCCTCTCTGGCCTTCCTTCCTCCTCGAGCTGGGTTTCCCTCTCCCAATTCATCCACTCCCAGGACTTCAGCCGGATCTCTGTCAGAGTTTCCAGGGCGAGATCCTACAGATGGTTGACAGGTTATGAGAGCGAAGTGTTTCGGCAACGCTCAGATGCGGAGGTGAAAGGCTCCAACCAACGGGCCTCCCTTCCACAGGGCTGCTCAGAGGCCTTCCCACTGAGTGCCCTGGGTGCCCAGGGCTGGGGGGTGTGGGGTGGGGGGGCTCGCGGCACAGGTTTTCAAACTCTGGTGATGACAAAACCCTGTCTCCCTGACCCCACTTTGGGAAAGGCTGCCCACAGGCTAATGGCTTCCAAAGTCAGCAGGGCCAGCCCCGGCATCTCTCCGGACAGCTTGGTTGTATCCTGGACACAGTTAGACATCGGCCACTCATTGCCACCTTCCCGCCCAAGCCCATCCCGGCTCCTGGACGTCCTGCCTCACCAGCTTCCCAGTTAAAGTTGGTCAATAACTGCCTGCTGATTCAGGCCTGCGGCCTCTCCCAGTGACCCTCCCAGCCCCGCCGCCATCGCTCCAAAGCGTTCATCTTGGTCTCCTTCAGTTTAACAGCTTTCTAAGGGCAGGTTTTTCTTTTTAAATCTGGGGGGGCTGGGGTTTGGCCACCAGCCATTTCCTCTAGTGTTTAACTTCTATACAGTGGCCAGGTTAATCTTTATGAAGCTGTCATCTGATAACCAACCACCCTTCCCCCAGTGACTTCATTCGTAGGCAAGAAGGGAATCACTGAGTGTGGCATTCAAGGCTCTTTGCTCAGTGCCCCGACTGCATCACCAGCCTCATCTGCCCCCCTCATCCCAGCCAAACACAACAGTGGCTATCCTCTGAGCTCCCCCTCCCCTTTCATGCCCTTCCCTCTACTTGCAATGTCCTTCCTTCCTTCTCCGCCTCCCAGCATCCCACCTGTCCTTCCGGGGCCAGCTCACACCTGTCACCATGACTCTGAGGTCTTCCTACCTAATCTGGTGCTTTCCTCCTTGGCCTACACAGTTCCCCTTCTGCCTACTCCCTTGGGGTCTGGCAGAACTCCTCACGGGGGGACAGAGACCCCTCCCACCACTCCCATGAGATTGTGAATGCCCACATGGACTCCCAGTATCTGCACATACTGGGAACACAGCAGACCTGACTGAATGAATTCCATAGGGACACAGGCCAGCCTGGGGGCAGGTCCGCACCGGGACCTGTCCGCACCGCCATCACTGTCTCCTTTGGACCCTCTGGCTATTTCAACTGCACCTACTTCTCGTTTCATAATTACGTTTACTCCTGCCTTACTGATGCCCCACAAGGCCACAGTATCTTGATGGCAGGGTCTATGAGTCCTCCTTGAACCCCCTGCCCCACCTGGACTGGCAGGAAGTTCCTGGGGCATCGATGAGGAAGAGAAAGGCTGGCGGGCAGGGCTCCCACCCCAGCTCCTAAATCCGAGACCCGCCCTCAACGCCAATAAGTGCCCTGCTAGAGCTTTGTCCCGAGGAGGAGGTGAGGACGGGGGAGCTGGTCTAAACAACGCAGTGAGACCGTGTCCTGCTGCAGACAGAAGCACGTGCTCTGAATCCCAAAGGCCTGAGTTCGAAGCTTCTCCATTTACTTGGCAGGAGTGAGGTGACCAGCCTGCTCCTTGGCTTCCTAATCAGGCAAGTGAAGAATCATAGTACTGCCGTCATGTGCAGTGGTTATGAACCCTGGGTTAACGTGCATGAAGTGCTCCAAACACTAAGTTGTCAAGAAATGTTTGCCATCATCATCACCTTCATCCCTCCCTTCCAGAGAGGATGCCTGGAGTACATGAGATTTTCTGGGTGTGGACGAAGCCAAGAGTTTTGAAAAGGTGAAGGTGGGGGGGGTGGTTCTGGGGCCCCGCAAGTGGACAGGAAGCACTGATGTCTCACCACGAGTCCTGCCCCTGACTCATGAGCTGATTCGTCCCCCCCATGCACGTGTTCCCAGCACACCGGCACCCACTCTCCCTCCACCCGGCCTGGGGCCTATTCCAGCCTTTGGAGAAATGACCGAAGCATTCTTAGCCCTCACCCCAGGGGCCTGAGGAATGGGGCAGCAGAGAGGGAGAACGGAGTCCGTGGGACACCCCTGCCCCAGGTCCAAGTTCAAAAACCATCCTGTCGTCCTGGTCTACCCAAACCAGAAGGGAATTCCCAGCAAGCTACCACTTGGGACAGCTTTCATTCTGAACCACTGAGGCAGCATGGCTTCCGAGGCAAGGGCCTGCCTCAGGGTCTGCGGACTCACGGGGCTGCCTTGGCCAAGGGCCAGGGGAGTAGAACGGCCCCCAAATGAAATTTAAACCAGCTAACCTCCAAAGCTGGAAACTCAGAGTCGAGTTCAAGATCCTGGCCTTTAATTTCTCAAGTGTTAACACAGCTTCTAGCCTTCAGAGTTTGTTTTTAATAACTCAATCGGTCCTTTCACATCAGGAATGTGACCTTCCCTCTGCAAAGCCCAACACTCACAGTGATATTATTTTACAAAGATGTTAGAACAGATTCGCCCAAAGTCCCTTTTCACACTGCCCACTTGTCAGCCTCTATGAAAGGGGTTTCAGGCATCTCCCGAGGTTCTAAATGCTTTTCTTCATCTGATGCTATCAGTCAAGGCCTGGAAACAACTAGGAATAAAAGCCAGACCAACCTCCACCCCATTCACGGAACTTGGATATTAACTCTTTCTTTTCCCGAGCCATTAAACCAAACCCCAGCAGTCAAGGCCCAAACGAAATCAAACTCACATTTTCCCAAAACTAACAGACCAGCACATTAAAAAAAAAAACAGCCCCCAATAAAGACAGAGTGGAAGTTCCATTTACCTTGAGCCTTTCAGCAGGCCCCACTCAGGAGCGGAGGGGCACTCCTAGAGCCCAGAAGCCACCCTCCCACAGAAATCATGGTCCACCTGCTCTAAAACATCAGGAGACAAGGCAAGAGGAGAGAGGGGGCATCTAAATATGGAAATGCCTTTACAAAGGAACAAGAAGAAAGAAAAAAAAAATGGGTGGACAACTGTGGTCACCACTGGTGAGGCACTAATACAGACCCCTGATCCACAAACGTCGGAAGGACCATAACAAAACAAGAACAGTGTGGGAGGGTGAGGGGATGAGGGGCAACTGCTCACCCTTCCCCCACCCCCAATTTCCTTATATCTCACTGTTTCAAATAAAAGGCACATGGGTTGCCTGGGTGGCTAAGCCAGTTGAGGATCTGCCTTCGGCTCTGGTCATGATCCCAGGGTCCTGGGATCGAGCCCCACATCGGGCTCTCTGCTCAGTGGGGGAGTCTGCTTCTCCCTCTGCCACCCCCCCACCCTGCTTGTGTTTTCTGTCTCTTTTCTGACAAATAAATAAATACTCTTTTAAACACTAAGCTTTAAAAAAAAAATAAAACTAAAAAGTACATAATTATAAGATAAAATACTAGGATAAAACCCTAAGTCTCTCTTGAAACCAGTCAACAGAAGTCAGGGGCCAGAGTCCACACAGCCGTCCGTGGCTTTGCATCAAACCACACACGAGTGCTTGGCTGACCACAGCTTCTCGGCTCCTGAGCACAAGGTTTGGGGGATTTTCATTCACTCACGTCTGACAGCCACTCAGGGGAAATACAAACCCAGCACATGGTCACCTTTTTCCTGCCACCACTCCTCTCAGGTTACTCTGTTCCATGGGTGACCCCAGAATCACTGTAACCAGAAACCTGATGGGCTGAGCTCAGCTGATGGTGGGGGTAGGGTGGGGGTGGGGGAGAGAGCCTCATGCTCAGGGCCCCCTCCCCACACCGGCCTCCAGCCAGGGCTGCTGCTAGACAGGGAGATACTTACCCAAATTATTGTGCGCTGGGGACATCGGATTCGGGGATAGGTTTGGAGAACCTGTGAGGTGAGACACAGTCGTGAGAACTAATAGAACATTCTTGACTTGGAGAGCTGGATTACTGAACGCCAGCTCAACCCAGTTCCTGGGTCCCAGTCTTTGCCTGCGGCACAGATGGATAATCAGATAACCTCAGAGGTCTCTCCCAGGACTCAATCCTGTGAGAGTCCTTCCTGCCCAAGCCCACAGCGCAGGGCCTGGAGCTCCCCTGCAGCTATGCCCCCAGGCAAACGAGACAGGCAGGGAAGGCCCTCTCCCCAGCTTTGCTCAGGGGCAGCAAAGCCTCAACCTCCTGCACAGCAAGACCTGCAGCTGTCAGTCCCAAATGCAGCCCCTTCCCAGGTCTCAGGAAACGCAGCAAGCTGCCTCAGAAATCCCACAGGCCTCCAACCAGAGTGACATCTGACGTGAGGCATGATGGTTCCTGGGGAACGATGTCTGAACCTACCCAGTTCTTCCTGTCCTGCTCCCTTCTCTCCACCTGTTGCTCCCAGAACAGAGAAAACCACATGGCATCAGAAAACCCAGCGGGCGCCTCTCCCCAGAGCAACTTGGCTCATCCCCGTGTCCCTGCCCCCAGCTGGAACAGCCTGTGGGAGAGGCAGCCCCCACCCCCCACCACCTGCCAGTCTGCCTGCAGAGGTGCCTTGAGCTGTTAAAGGGGGTCTGTTCCTGCTCCCCAACCCGGTTGTAACCTCCCCGAGAGTGGGGGAGGAGCCATGGGCTTCTTTTCCTCCTCTGGAACCCAGTCCATCAGGGGATGTGGAAGAGCCCGGGAAGAGGCAGAATTTCCAAACTGGCCCCGGAGTCCAGGCCTGCGCCCAATGTATCAGCTGTGGGGTTTTAGCAAAGTGGTTTAACTTCTTTGAGCCCCGATTTCCCCCCACTTCAGGTATAAAATGCGGATAAGGGCATCCCCCGTGTGATCTGCAGACGTGAAGGGCGGTCGTGCGCATACAAACGGGTGTCCCGGGACTGGCATACAGTGGGTGCTCCGTAAACGCTTTCCTGTTTCGTGGCAGCCCAAATCAAGGCGGCCTGGGGAAGGCCTGGCCTGGAAGGGCCCGTATGCGTGTCCTGGGGGCCACAAGGCTGGAAAAGGTGGTCCTCAGGCCCCAACTAATACACTATCACATCTCGGCTGCCAAGATAGCAACTTGACTGGTTTCCACATGGACGTCGAGTTGAGAATAGAGGATAAGCCGGAGACCCCACCCACAGGCGGGGGGTCCCTGAAGCCCAATGTCCACCTCTGACAGACGACGGGTGCCCCCAACAGGGCCCTGCAGGTACCCTGATTGCGGGGAGAGGAGGAAAGAGGAGCGGACAGACAACGGGGCAGAAAGGAGGGCAGGGAGGGCCCGAGAAACATGAGCTGAGGGGGAAAGGGGCAGGCTGCTCATTCGGTGCCCGGACCCCCTCCTTCGGCCGGTTTTGACAACCACACAGGAAGAAGAGCAAGGAGAGGAGAGAAAGGAGTGAGGAGCCGCTGCTCAGCCGATGCCCTGCGTCAGCACCTCAGAGCTGCGAGCTTGCAGCGGCCGCTCAGCACCCAGTACAGGCAGCCTTCGGCGCATTCCAGCTAGGGCCGCGCCGCCCGCCACTCGAGGGGGGTGTGTGCCACCCACCACGTGCCACGATGCCCAGGCTAGGTAGCCAGCAACTAGGTTCACGGCGAATGGGCACGTCTCCTTACTGCTTCTTGCAGGAATCGCACACCCTCCCCTGGGCCGCGTGCGAGGGTGGCCGGCTCTGTCTCCCACCATGGCTCTGTGTGGACCCGGCATGCCCGCTCTTGTCGGGACGGACATCCGCTCGGCTCCTGCTCCTCCTCACCCCACCACACACCTGGCAAGTGCACAGTCTATGTGGCTGGCAGGTGGGCTTCGGTTCCGGGAGCCAATTTGGTCCCATAACAAATGACGCAGGACATCTGGAGACAGGGGGGCTGGGTCCCTCTTGACAGGAACACCTCAATCACGTTTGGTCACTACACACAGATCCCCCAGCAAAGACCCTGCCTCTGCGCGGGCTCTCCCGATCTTGGGTGATGGAGCCCACTACCGCCAGCCTACTGCCAGCAACACCTCACGGGGGGGTTGGGGGGGCAGGCAGACTCTGCCTACAGCCCAAGGGGACTCCTGCCCACTCCCAAACCCCGAATGACTGCCCTCCCGCCTCTCCCCACTCTCCAGCCACACTGAGCTGTCCTGCCCACGTGCCCCAGGACTCTGCCTGGCATACCCTTTGCCTGCCCCGACGACTTGGCCAACACTTGCCCAGTTCTAAGACTCAACTCAAGAGACACCTACACTGGGGCGCCTGGGTGGCTCAGTGGGTTAAGCCTCTGCCTTCAGCTCAGGTCATGATCTCAAGGTCCTGGGATCGAGCCCCGCATCGCATAGGGCTCTCTGCTCAGCAGGGAGCCTGCTTCCCCCTCTCTGCCTGTCTCTCTGCCTACCTGTGATCTCTGTCAAATAAATAAATAAGATCTTTAAAAAAGAGAGAGAGAGAGAGAGACCTACACTGTGAGGCACTGCTCCGCCCCCAGGGCCTCCCCACTTGTGCCCCACGCCCCAGGGGCACAAGGCAGATCACTGCCCGCTGTCTCCCTCTCAGGCTGGGAGCAGCTCAGGCTCACTCCTCTATCCCCAGCACCGGGCACACAGAGGTTCCTCTGTAAATGCCTGAGAGAGGGCTGGAGGGACAGAGGGATGGAGGAGAGACAGGCACTCAGACAGGATTAAGACTGACCTGCATCCATGCTGTGGTTCATCTGGTGGTCACTGGTCTCTCCATCTTCACTCAGGTAGCCAGGGGGTGGGGTTTCTGGGAATCAGAAGGAAGGTGGTTCATTAAACGGCCTCCAGTGTTTGGCTTGGAGAACCCTGCTACACGCATCACACAGTCACGCCACTCTGCCCGTGGCAGGTGCTGCAGGAACTCAGCCCCGGGGCAAGGTCACCATCTCCTGGATCCTGTGATCATCACACCTGTCGACCCCTGGCTCCTCATCTGGATGGGGACCACCTCTGTTCACGCAGCCCTGACTCCCGAGACTGACATGCTTATTCCGAGAGCCTCTGCCAGACTAAGTGCTCCCCACCCTGGAAGGTCAGGTGTAAGCCCACCCCTCCAAGGAGGCCGTGGACTTGCCTCAGTCTTGCCCATCTCTGTCCTCCCAAGGGCAACCGTCTCATGGTGCCCTTTGGCTCTGCTGTCTACTCCTGCAGGGACACCTTGGTCTTTGTCGTCCCTCTAGGGGCGGTCCTGGCCTCCCTGGGTGGCTGCAAGTTCACTGACAGCAATGACTGTGATCTAGTTCTCTGACTAACCCTGGACGGTGACTGAGCTAAGGTTTGCTCAGTGAACACAGTGACCTACCGCCAGGGACCAGCGCCACCTGTGAAGGACCTGGAAAGGCTGGGTCTGTAAAGGGGTCTCTTGGAACGCTCTGCCCCAGCACACAGGCCTGTGGTCAACCTCAGCACTGCGCTAACTCACTCAGGGTGAGAGGCTCCCTCCAACCAGAGTGCTCTGGCTCTCGGAAAAGCAGGCGGCAGGATTCCTGCCACTGGGACCAGCCCAAGCGCCGGCAAGCAGTTTTCCTGGACGCCCCAGGGCTGGTGATTCACACCTTATTTGCATGTAAATGAGGGGCTTCTAAAAACATTTGCACTCTGACAGCTGAGCCCACTTTCTCCCCGCTCACAGTAACAACTCCAGCGGGCAGCAGCTCCCGCCCAGGCTGCAGTCCCCCCACCAAGCTTACTTACTTAGGGCCCCACTTCTCCGCACTGGCCGCCCGGCCCTCGGTTCCCCCACGGCTCTGCAGGCCCCCAGACCGTCGGGGGATCCTGCCCAAACTCCAGCCTCAGCCGCGAGGGCGGTGAGAGAAACACAGCGTTGCTATTTCCGCTTCCAAAATAAATGACTGCACCGAGCCCGGGCGGAAGGGTCACGCCGCCGCTCCTCCGTGCCAAGAAAAGCATCATTAGTGAGCGGGGAGCCAAGGCCACGGGTCCTCTCCCAACGGGTGTGCGGTTCTGAGTCAGGGGCCCTTGGGCCAGCACTGTGTGCAGGGGGGACGGGGCCGAGGGGGCCAGGAGAGCCGCGGGGGGTAGTTGGGGGGATGGAAGGCGGGACCCCTGGTGGCCTACACACCCTGGCGCCTACCTGGAATATTGCTCTGGGGCTCGATGCCTGCGGGGAAGTTTGTGTTCTCGGGGATGGAATGGCTGTAGTCGTCCAGCGGGGGGAACTCGGCCGGGATCTCTGTGTGGCGTGGGACCAGCACAGGAGGTAGAACTGTCCAGAAGAGCAGAGGTGGGTCAGTGTCAAGGCTGGGCTGGCACCAAAGCCCTCCTAGTGTCACTGGCCCACAGGCACGGTGGACCCACCCCCTCCCCAGGAAGGGGAAGGAGACACCCAGCAGATAGCTGCAGAACCCTGGAGACAATAAGCTATAGACCCCTGGAACGGTGTGGTGGGGGGCGCATACCTGGGGTCTCTACCCTCTGATAGTGGTAGGGATTCACGCAGACCTCGTCCTTCTTCATGTTGAAGGCGAACTCACACAGCTCCATGGCCCGCAGCTCGTGGTGGCTGTGCAGGTCGGGCCATCGCCACAGGCGGCAGTAGATGACATGGGGGAGCCCCTTCCGATGGGACACCTGCAGGCGGCCATCCAGGGACCTGTGCAGACGGGGCGAAGAGGAACAGCGGAGTGGATTGGGCTGACGTGCTCCCTGACATCGGCCTGCACTGCTGCTCCTGGGAGCTAGCTGGCCCAGCCTCAGGAAGCCCCCCTGCCCCATTTCTCTGAGCTGCACAGGGCCTCAGGACCAGAGAATCCTGTTAGGGCTGGCAGGGGTCCCAGGAGAGGAACACGGAGGCCCATCAAGGAAGGCCAAGGGCCTCCCCGGGCTGGCAGGGTAGACCTTGACCTCACCAAGCCCTGGGGTGAGTTCTCCAGCCCTCGCCCCCCCATATGAAGGGAATGGCACTTGACTCGTGCTCTGGGCAGGTCCATGGGCCGGGCCGAGGTGTGCAGAGGGGCTCAGGCCTGAGCAAGAAAATGGGAGTTCTTGAGGTATGTGCACGTGTGAGGACCACAGGGATGTGGAAGTGACGAAGCACAGGCTGCATCTAACCCCTCCCAACATGCAGCCCCTCCCCCCACATCAGAAAAAAACGGGAAAACCCCTCTCCCTTCTAGCTGCTATTTGTGAAGAGCTGGGAAGGAAAGAGGGCAATGGAAGGGAATTTCAAATGGTAAGAGCCTACAGCGGCAACCTCTCAGGAACCCCATTCTGGTTGAGGGTGTCACCCGGGTGTCACTGTCCACAGAGTGCTCCTAGTTCAGAGCCAAGGCCTGAGGCCTCCAGCCAGAGCTGCGGGGAAAGGGAGTCTCCAGCTCTACACCAGGCTGAGTTCTGCAACTGTCCCCCGCCTGGCTGGACCAAACACCACAGCCAAGGGGCCTTTCCCTGTGCAAACAATGTCTTCTGTGGTGACCCAACGCCCCCACCTCTCAGGCCAGGCCAAAGCGTGGGCCCTGACCAGCAGCACGGGGCCACGGAAGTGGGTTAAAAGGAAGACTCTCAGAGGCTTCCCCAACCTACTAAGTCAGATTCTTCCTCTTCATAAACCCCCCAGTGAAGTGCAGGAGAAGAAAGAGCTGGGGCGCCGAGCCTGCCTGCTGGAAGCCCGGGAGTGGCAGGCGCAATCCCCGCCAAGAGTAAGGCAGGGACATGGGAGGCTTCTGAAGAGGACGCCCAGTGTCATACAGGTGAGGAGATCCTGTTCACACAGTCCTTTAACAGACCTTTTATGAGCTCCTACTACGTGTGGCACGGGGGACACAGTGGGTTGGGAAGAGATGTCATAGTCAAACAGACCACAGAGTGGTCCCTGATCCCATGAGCCTCCAGTCCAATGGACAAGACAAATATTAATAAAATCATTCTACGCAGCTACAATCAGCAACCGTGCAAGGATTCTGAAGGAAAAGTGCAGGGAGCACATGACCCCGGGACCTTGTTTTACTAAAGGGCTGGACAGGGTGCCTCTGGGGTGGGGATGGTTGGCCTGAAAGTCCAAAGGACAAGGAAAACTAACCAGGCAAAGGTGCATGGGAGGAGGGCGTTCCATGTAAGGGGAAGGTCATGTGCAAAAGCCCTGTGATGGTGGAAATTATGGTAAGGAGGGAGAACAGAAAGGAGGCCAGAGTGACTGGGGAGGAGAGAGGGAGAGAACTGGGTGTTAAGATGAGGTAGGGGAGCCCTTGCAGGGCCTTGGGAGCCGTGATAAAAGGTTCTACCTTATTCCTAAAAGCCAAGGAAGTCCCTGAGATGTTTCAGCCGAGATGTTTTCAGCACACAAGTGTGTGCACGAGACTGGCCCCGTGAGACTTGGCAGCCCGGAAAAGACCAGGGACTGTGGGAATGGACAGTGACTTGGAGGTACATGTGAATAAAGAGGTACATGGCAGGACGACTTTCCCTGCAAGAAGGCCCAGGCTAGGATCCCACCGCTCAGTGGGTGCAACTTTCCTTAATAGCTGGGTGGGGCCAGGGGAGAAGTGTTCACAAGCTCTCCCTGCCCTCGGCCCCCACCCAGGACTGAGGGCACCCATTTGCCTGGCTAAACAGAACCCAAGGGCAAGCTGTGAGGGAGGGCCGAGCCAGATGCAACCAGAAGCACCCACCGAGGGGAAAGAAACAGGAATCCAATAAAACTTCCTAAGCCCCTGGCCTGGGAATGGGGAAGGGACAAAGGTCAGAGCAAGACTTAGTTACAGGGATTGACAAGTAGCTGCTGACGAAGGGCATCTCCAAGGATATAATTACTTCCCTCCCGTGGGGCCCGAACCAAGGAACCCCTCCAGCCAAAAAACAGTAATTACCAGGCAGAGCGAGAGAGCCTGGGACTCACCTCCCACCACCCCACCCTCCCCGCCACCGCCCCCACCCCGAGGCAGAGAAGGAAGACTATAAGATATGGAGTCACACAACCTGGGGTCAACAAGAGGCTCTCCTCTCCCAGCTGGGAGACCCTGGGCAAGTCATGAGGTCTCTGGGACTCTCAGCTACTTCGTCTGGAAAATCCAAATCCCCTGCCCCCACACCCCCCACAGCTCAGTGTCCACTAGAAGCACTAGCAGTCTCTCTGCATGGGACAGCAGCCCTGGGGCAATGGGGTGAGTGACCAGGCTGTGGAAGAGAGAAAGGGAGGGTGGGAAGGGATAAGTGGAGACAGGATTACTCAGCTGCTCCTGTTCTCCTGCAAAGCCACCGAGTGCCTGCAGATGAGGACAGTGGCCACGGTCACTCAGTGTTCGAAAAAAGCCCGAGCTAAGAGCCTGCTGAACACCAAGTGGCCTCTTCCAGGGGCGGCCCTGGAGAAAGGCTCAGGTGGGCAGTGAGGGAGGGCTGGGGCTATGGAGGGGGCCCCTCAGCCCCCACCTAGCTGATTGAAGGGGATGACACTCTTGTTTTAAAGCTAACAATAACACAGGGCAAGAGCAGGGGCGGTGGGGGCTAACACAAGAGAAGGGTCTCGGTTTCCATGGGGCAGACGGCCCCAGAAAGTGAGCACGAGCTGAAGCTCCTGGCAACTCTGTATCTGGGCCAGAGCCTTTAGGAAGAGAAGGAGGAGGGGACAGGATGCTCTGGGCGCTCCTAAGGAGGACAGACCCTCACACACAGCCCTGACATCAGAAACCCCCAGAACCAGGACACTCTCGGCTGGCAGCTCACCCCCCAGAGACAGGACTAGACCCGAGACCTCACACCTGCTCGGGGACCTGTGAGGGGGGAAAGGGCACGGAGAGGGCACACATGGGACGGCCACGCAGATGTGCAGCTCTGACACGATACAGGTTGACGGGGCCAATGTCTGCTTGTGAGATGGGCTGTGATGGGGTCGCTACAGGTTTCTGCCACTGAGGGACAGGAAGGGGCATCGAGGTGGCAAAGGAGGACAGGTGCACTGCACTTGTAGGTCAAGAACCTCAGTCTGCTCGTCCCTCATCTCTTCCTTTCTGCATTTCATGGCTGTTTCCTCTCAAAGATAAAGTGCTCGGCTGTCTTCCCAAAGGATTATGGCATAGAAGGCTCCAGGGAGAGGAAAGACGGGGGAGAAAGGAGGAGAGACAGTAAAGGGGAGGAGGTATGGGAGTGGGTAGAAGAAGGTAGTGGAGGGAAGGAAGAGAGGAGAAGGGGAGGGGTGAGGAACGGATGAAGGGGGGAGGGAGGGGAAGAAATGTACTTCCATCACCTACAACAAACTGAAAGAATCCGTTTACCTCTGTCCTGCCCACGACAGCCAGTAGGAGAAGCGCGCAAACTCACTCAGAGACGGCCAAGCGGGAACTGACTTCAGAGTGGAGTGAGCGGAAACCAAGGCAGCTCTCAGAGGAACCCAACAAAAGGGATTCCATTTGCTTCTCAGAACCTGGGAAAAACTTGGGAATTGGGGGCACCTTGCACTTCTCAAGATGAGGCCAAAACAGGAGGATAGCCTGAAAGTCTATGGAAGAGACAGGCAGGTCGGCTCGCCTCCCTGAGCCCCCCAACTAGTGAGAAACAGGTCTGCTCTCTGCAGAAAATGAACTGGAGAGCAGGGCTCCAGATGGGACCATGACGGCACAGCTAGGGTCAGGCGAGGGCTGGGAACAGGATGTTGTCGACCGTCTCTTGCTCACACGGTACCCAGGATGGTGACAGGCAGGCACGTCCCCCCGCCGATCCCACCTGCTGGAGACATTAACAGCCCAGCCTGCAAGACATGCAGTACTGACATTTGGAGAACCCCCAACAAAATGGCCCTGTTCCTGCCAGCTCACCCTACAGGGGGGCTCACCTGCCAATGTCAAACACGGAGCATTCAATCTGCTTTTTACTGCTTCACTCGTAAATACGAACGCACAGCCAGAGCCTCAACCATTTAAAGAAAGCCTCCAACAAGAGGCATGGGGACCGAAGTAAGTGGGGGAGAAAAAGGAAGTCTCAGACAACGCAGGGAGCAGAGAACCTTTCAAACAAAATGAAACGAAAACTACTCTCAGGGAGACAAGATATTATAATCCTAAAACCAGAACATTTACAAACTATTATAAAAAACACTTAGAGGGGCGCCTGGGTGGCTCAGCTGGTTAAGCATGCAGCTCCTGATTTTGGCTCAGGTCATGATCTCATGGGCTGTGGGATCGAGCCCCGTGTTGGGCTCTGTGCTGGGTGTGGAGTCTGATGGGATTCTTTCTCTCCCTCTGCCCGTCCCTCTCCATACGCCCCCCACTGCTCAAAACCAAAACCAAACAAACAAACAAAAAAAGCCCTCTTGGAAATAATAATATAATAATACATAAATAATAAAAATAAGTTTAAAATTCTGGAAAGACCTGAGTTTTTCAATTGTATACATGATTTACCAGTTTTTAGAAATCAAGGGAAGCCCAGTAACCAAGGCAGTGTGATAATGGCAAACCACTGAGAAACACATCAATGGAGCCTAACAGAGCCCAGGAATAGTCACGTGTAAATGGACAGCTGATGTTCAACAAACGACAAAGACCATTTAGTAGAGACAGGATTGTCTGTTCAACAAACAGTGCCAGGACAACTGGATATCCGTATGCGAGACAAATGACCTTCAACCTACGCCTTGCACCCTATACAAAAATTAATGGAGAT